GCGCAGGCGCATCAGAGCCCGCGCATGTTGGTGGTTCCGGAATCGGGACGTGTGGCGAAAGTAGTAGGGCATGCGCGACAGAAAGCCGGCCTCAGGCACTTCATCTGCATCACCAGCGGTGGAGGGTGGGAACTTGATGCATGGGACCATGCGCTAGCAAACCGGGCTGCACGGGCCGTGCAGCAGGGCGCTGGTGCTTGCGCGGAGTATGAGGCTTGTTTTGCCGCTGGCGATGCTGATGAGGTGCCTGAGGCCGGCTTCCCGCCTCGCATGCCCTACTACTTCCGCCACACGTCCCGATTCCGGAACCACCAACATGCGCGGGCGCTCATGCGCCTGCGTTGCTGCTCTCCCCCCTTTGCGGCGTCGCCGACCCTGCATTACAACACCCCCACCGTTTGCACCCACTGCGATGGCCGCGACCTTGATGAAACGGCTGAATGAACATGCCCTGCTCGACTGCCCTGCCTACGCGGACCTGCGGGCCGCGCCGCGCTTTGCCCCCTTGTTTGCGGACCTGCCTGCAAATGCCCGCATGCGCGCCCTTGTGCGCAGTGCGGACCAGCATACCCTCGGGGCCTTTGTGCACGCCTGCTTTGAATGGCGAACAGTGGCCCCCTGAATCCCTGTCACACAATGCTGATGCTACCAAGTCATATCCCATGAGCCTGGATGGCTCCAGGAGCGGGCGACCGCGGGATCTTGTAACAATCCTCATCCTAATCCTTGAGGGGCTGGGGGCCTCACTCTTGTGGTCCCACCATGCGCCGGCGGCGACGCCATGTCTAAGGCGGGCTCGGGCGGCCGCATCTGCGCAGGTGTCGTCAGTCTTTTGTATAACTTCACATCTAAAAAAAAGATCCCGCGGTCGCCCGCTTCTGGACCCATCCAGGCTCATGGGATATAGCGTTGTAGCATCAGCGTTGTGTGACTGGGACTCAAGTGGCCATCATTCGCCGTTCAAAGCAAGTGCGCACAATAGCCCCACGTGTTTGCAAGTTTGCGCTGCACACACGGGCATGCATGTGGGCATGTGCAGGCTGAGGGCCGCGCTCCGGTTGCTATGTAGCGTGTGGTTCCACCACACAGTGGCGGCAACGTCGCGTCTGGGGCGGCCTCGGGCGGCCGCATTCGTGCAGGTGACGTCAGTGTCTCACGCAACTTCATCTGGGAAATGTATAGTTAGGGTTGTGAAATGCTTCGCGGTCGCGAGCTTGTGGAGCCATTCAGGCTCACACGTGAAACAAGCAACAGAATCATGCAAAAGCAAAACTGTGTCAATGGCCTTGAACCAAGCATCACTCACAATCCATCGTCGCTGTCCTCCCGCTAGAAGGAAAGAGATCTGCGTCAACGCGCACCCGTTGGT